GTAGAGACGGGGTTTCACCATGTTGACCAGGATGGTCTCGATCTCTTGACCTCGTGATCCACCTGCCTCGGCCTCCCAAAGTGCTGGGATTACAGGCTTGAGCCACCGTGCCCGGCCCTTCAGTCTTTGCTTTCTATCTTTGCTGAGTCGTTTCTTTTAGTATGCTTAAAAATTCAAGAATAATCTACCAAAGTTACTGCCTTTGCCTGGTTAAAGAAAATCAAGTATCTTGGCTGGGCGTGGTGGTTTATGCCTGTAATCCCAGCACTTTGGGAAGCCGAGGTGGGTGGATCACCTGAAGTTGGGAGTTCGAGACCAATCTGACCAACATGGAGAAACCCCATCTCTACTAAAAATACAAAATTAGCTGAACATGGTGGCACATGCCTATAATCCCAGCTACTCTAGAGGCTGAGGCAGGAGAATCGCTTGAACCCAGGAGGTGGAGGTTGCAGTGAGCCAAGATCATGCCGTTGCATCCCAGCCTGGGCAACAAGAGGGAAACTCTGTCTCAAAAAAAAAAAAAAGTCAAGTATCTCACTTTAGGCTGTTTTAAATGCAGTAAAGGGAAGGGGGAAATGAAAGGTTTTTTTTGCTTACATTTTTAAAAATTTTATGTTTGTACCTATTTCTAGGCAATTTCTTTTGTAAAATTTCAAACTTAGAACTTAACTCTTAATTCTTCAACTCATATTTCACATTGATTTATTTGAACTTATTGCTTCACTCTTATTCCTGTAAAGTTGCATCGTTGCAGAATCCCAGAAGTTTTGGAAAGAAGTTAATGAAGAACGTGACTTTACTAGACTATAACAGAATTTTGCATAAATCAAATATGGTGTATTGTTTTTGCTTATATTCTGCAGTTATAAAGTGAAGTGTCACTTTATCCTACTCTGAATTGTGTGCAAAAAAATACATGATGATGTATGAGTTTTTTGAATATGTAATATTATTTTGGAAACCTAATCTTAGTCTACCATTACCACTGATTTGTTAGAAAACTTAGAGTAAATTTAAGCTTATATTGAATATTGTAAGTTACTCCTGTATTTAAGAGATCTGA